AACAACACCAACAACGTGTATTATTGAAAAAAAACATAAAACAGTTTTAATTTTAACCTTGAATTATGATAATGTATATGTAATAACAAAAACAGTGTTCCAAAAAGATAATCATAAATATTTTAGAGAAAAGGGGTAAAAACGAAGATGAGATATTGATATTTGAGTACTTTGTGTATTAAGAATTTCGCAAGTATAATCTTATTATTTAGGGCAATAAACAAGCAGAACTTTTTACGACAAGTCTTTTTATGGACTATTGAAATTTGTACAGTTGCGTCTATGAAAATCTAGTAGAAAAACATATCTCATAATTCCTGGTGTATTATAAAAAAAAATCTGATTAGATACCTAATAACTTTCTGTGTCACAAATTTTTAAAATGACACAGGGCAAACACAGGTTTTAGACTGTCATGTACGCTCAAGTACAGGAACCCTTAATTATCTCCAAAACTGCCAATATGTTTCGAGACTTTTATGCGTCAAACGCGGTGTTGCGAAGTTTAATAATAAAAACAAAATTTTAAAATTACGAGATCTTACTAAATTGGACATGCGCAATTCATGCAAAAATAATGGCATTAAAATAACAAAATGATGACGTGTCACGTAAAAGATGTAAACATGTAAAAATTAAGAATCAACAAAAGTTTTTGTCGATACTGAACTGAAATAATAAAATATTCAAGCATAAAACTTGGAAATTTTCAATATTAAATAATATGAAACACTTGAAACATTGCCATATAAAAAGAAACTTTAAAAAAGTTATAATTTTTTATATACGCCGTCCGTGTTTCGGGTACAAATAATGTTCAGTTGATATAAAAGGGGACCATGTTTATTCTACTAAACCCCAATTTAGAAAATGATAGTCTTAACTGGAGGTGCAACAACGAGGCAGCTTTTAAGAAAATTGCCCCGACCACGCCACCCGGCACTGATTATAAATTACTTCATTATCTGGATAAAACGATAATTGAATTCGCCCGTGAGCCATAACGAATTTAATTAATACGGAGCGTTTTACTTTGTGTGTAAATTTTGAGCCCCAGCTAATATGCAGTTTGATTGTCGAATATTTTGCGTTTGAAGGGGGCGTGGTGAGAAATAATAGTCTTCTCTACTCAAGTAACTGAATGTGTAGTGTATTTGCTAAAGTTAAAATAGAGGAGACAACTCGCAATATGTCATAACTTCGTCTTATAATTGAAGTTTCCAAATTACCGCAAAATTACACTTTCCTAGGAGCCTAAATCCAAATAGACGATTTTGATTACTATACATTCAACGGCACGAAAGATGGAGTACGTGTCCATTTTACACATAAAATAAAGATTTTTATGTTTTGTGATAATTTATTATCCTATTAACTTACACCCAAACAAAACATGTTTTAAGTAATTTTTAACAACATCTAACCGTTAAACGGAAATAATCTTTTGTCGATATGGCCAAAACTCAAACAGAGCATTTCTATAAAAGTCTTGGCATGGCCAAAATCATATAAAGAAGCAAGAAAGCGACTTCATATTCTTCGCTTAAGTAGGTCCCACAAATGTGCAATTCGGATTGTATCTTGTGTTAATGTAAGGTGAGGTTGTGGTATGAGGTATGGCATTATTATGCATTAGAATAAAATTATCTCCAATAAAATTGTCATAGGGAACAAAAAAATACTCCAGAATTTCTTCAATGTACCTCAGAGCAGTTAGGTTGGAACTATGTAAAGTTTGTATTTGCCTCTAGAGAAATTTCAGTCCACGCCATAAGTGAAGCTCTTTAGTAGTCTACCTTAGGACTAAAGGTACGCCTTGCAAAATATTCTTGTAAATAAATATGCATAATATGCATTTGTTCCCTCATTTTTAACCAGTGTTCATGATTCCTCGCTAACCAAAACTGATGTCGCACAACCCAATGACGTTACAGGTCTTTAACTAGCTAGATTGGCTTCTCCAAGTCTTCGTCTAAAGGTCCGTTGCCTTACGTTGGTATTCCGGGCGTGATAAAGTTGGATTGGATTCCTACATGACGATCTGACAGAGTTTATAAAATGATAATTTGATTGTCGTGAGCGTTGGGAACCAGTAGCAGGTCTAGTGTAATCTGCAGTCAAAATTGTATTAATTTGTTGCACAGGTGCCATTTGATACGGAATGATAACATATAACAATATATTGCTCCGTCTTGAATCAACGCAACCATTGCAGCAGCTGTTTCATGACTACATGACTGCATTTTTTGCTGAGAAAACTTTAAACAACTTGTTTATCACAAGACTCCAACAATGATTTTGTCATGAGTGCACATCTTGTGGACACGATGAGTTTTATATTGGAGATAAAAAACGTCCTAATAATTGCACGAGTATGAGAATACATGGAACACATACGTTGAGACTTGGGATAGCAGATCATATTTGATGGAAGCTACACAATATGTTGCCATATGGAACCTGATTAGAAAACGCGAATAGGGCAAAATGAGGAAGTAGATGATTATGCTAATACAAGATTTTGGACAAGGCAACCTATTAATAATGAAGCTTGGTCGTACTGTACACTCTAAATCAAAATATGGTCATTTCAAAGCAAATAAAGTGCGTCATATTTTGTCAGCAAAGAGCGTACTAAGTTTAAACCACTATTGTAATTTTACTGTTGTCTGTTAAAATGGTATATTTCTATTCCATTAGTTTTATCACTTGTATAATGTAAGCCACTTTTAACCTAACTTTGGCCAGTACTTTTATTACAGAAATTTCTAAGTAAATTTACATATTTGTTCGAGAATTTTACAGATAAAATGACTGTAATATTTATATATTTTTAAAGGTAGTCGGTAAATTTACAGCAAACTTTGTCGTACATGTGCTGTGATTTTGAGGCCACTACAAAAAATTGCTTTAATATTACATCGATTTATCTTAATTGTTACTGGTTGCATAGTAAGTGGAATTAGAGATAAACAACTAATTTTAAGTAAAACATTAAATTTAATTTATAACAACTATCCTCAACTAACAACATTTATTTAAATTTTTTTCAAAACATGTTATTTCAAATATTTTTGAAATGCACTCACCAAACTGTTAGATAATTGGTTCCAAAACATGTATGTGTTTCTATAGAAATTTCACCACTTGAAACATTACCATCCTCATCAGTAGCAACATTAACACACATCACTATGCTCATTCCTGTTTAGTACCTTTAGAGAGTTCAAAAGTTATTATGGCGTTATGTATTCGTAGGCTGACATTTTACAAAACCGAAGAACTTTAATAAATATTGTAAATTCACAGTTCACATTGGTAAATTTTATTTAATATTGTTAAGGTCACTGTAAAATTCGCGGACACTGTTATGACTGGATATGAGTATATGGTATATGGTTAGCTAAATATTAAGAGGTTTTGAGCAAACCATTTGTGACTTGCGTTTGGTGTATGTGTTGTTTTGTCCAAACTGTCTAGTGTTCCGTTATTTTTCCTTAAGTGTTGCATTTTTTGTTTCTCATGACAGTCAGATTTCAATCAATTACCGAGGTATCTGCCAGTCATTCCCAAACTTCTCGATTCATTAGTTACATCAATTATATCTGGGGATTTCTATCGGGGCGCTTTACTGTTACTAGCAATACACAACTATTTTAATATAATTTTCAAGCGGACACCATTTGTAGTTATTGATATCTTGATTTTGGTGGAAAGTTCCTAAATTGGCTGTCTAGTTCCTTTTCACAGCGCAATAATCTATGGACTGTTATCACGAGACACTGACGTTCATTCAGGTTTATCTGAGGGTTTACATATTGGTCCTGTTCTCTTCAATTTATTTATGACATTGACATATTTGTTAGTTTTTTCACAGCTGATTTGAAAGCTTTTAAGATTATTTTACCTCTGATCGATATTTAATGCTTTGAATCTAAACAAAAAAATTCTACTCGAAAAGGGTGAATGAGATTGAAGATTTAGGGGTGTTGCTAGATTGTAGACTAACTTTTTGGAATCATTTTAATGATATTACAGCAAAGGGCTTTAGGAGCTTTGCGTTTTATAAGTAGGTTTTGAGTTGATTTCTTAATCTTTAAGATTTTGTATTGCGCTTTTGTCCGTTCATTAATAAAATATGCAAGCCAGGTTTGGTCTCTTTTTTATAAAACTCATATTGACAAGCTAGAAAATGTTAAAAAAATTAGCGAAAGTCAGTAATCATACCTACTATGATGCCGTTAATATTTTTTTACTTTTAAATATTCCATTTAAGTTAGTAGTTTTATTTTTTGAAAACTGAATTTTGGAATTAGTCACAGGACTCAGTCAAGGAAGTATTTTATGTTCCATTTCGTGATCCTAACTATGACTTGAAGGGTCCATCGGTTTGTTTACAATGACAGTTAAGTTCTTATTTCCAGTTAGTTAAGTTCTTATCTTCTAATTGGTTCCCTTTGTAAAATGGTGTAAACGTTAGTAATAAATAAATAAATATATATTTTTAAAGTTTTCCTGCTTACAATAAAGTAGAATAAAGTTTTTTTTTAGAATTCGTTCTCTACCAGATCGTTTTTCATTTATTGACGAATAATAATATTGGAATTGGGTTGAATATAAATTTTCCGTTATAACCTGCCAGTCATCGACAAATTCAGAGCAAACTAACCGAAACTGGGAAATGAGCCCTTTTATCGATGCGTAATATCAATTCAAATGAATTGTCGGAAATTTCTACGGGCGTGTTTGTTTCGTGCCAGGTCGGTGAAGCGCATTAAAATTTTACAATTTCTCATTTTACGAAACACTTGGCCCGTGTTTATTCCCACAATTTTATGTGTTTTCAAACAATACAGAGTTAAAAGCAACAATGTTTAGTTTGCAGTTTCGTATAGTCATCGCATTAATTTTGCGTTCGGTTATTTATATTGCCAAAGTCGTTTCCGAGAAAATTAAAAATGGCTACACAAATGCGACGCTTCACACTTCGATCATTTCAGGTGCAGTTAAGTCGTGATGGCCGAGGAGCCAAATGGCTCGCACGGAAGAAATACCCACAACATCACCGTCATTGCCAGTACGACTTCAGTTCCGGTTTCGACGTACGATCCCAGGGAGTACTACAAAACCTACGATGTCATGACCGGAATTAGGATAGCCGCCACGTTGGGCAGCTTCTTCGGCCTAATGGTCCTCCTTGTATTATATAAATCAAAATCAAAGGTAAACGGAGTAGAATTTGTTTTGGTAAAGCACGAGCCGATATTAGGCAATCGATGCTATTATTTCCTTTTACAATCGAATCGAGGTGAATTGCGACGAGCTTGCCGGGAAATGAGCGAAACATATTTAATTAAATTACGACGTTTTCGCTATTTGTAACGTTGTTGCGAATCGGCGAGGCTATTTAAAGTTTAATGGCAAAGGTCGTTTGTTACACGGGCAATAGAATCGATATTGGCAATATTAGATTTGCTAATATTTGATGGCTAAATGCTTAATCGCCAAGCAGTGTGGTTAAAGACGATGTGCAGGGAGAAGCTTATTCACTTAACATTGCGACAGCGTATACATTTTTCAATAATAAAATTAAATAATGTTTTCACATATCATCCCTTTGTTTGTTGAACTCTGATTGGCTGTTTGGTTCAGATTTTCGATGATTGGGCAACTCAATCAATTTGCTGAGTGGTTATTGGCGTGCGTGTTGTTATTAATATCCGTAGATTGTAACTGTGCCGATGAAAGCAATGCAAGATCCATTAACACAATACCCCACACTCCAAACGTCATTTAAGCAGAATATAGTTTGTTAATGCGTATTAAAATAATACTATAGTAGACCAAGAACTTATTAACACCCATCAAACTGACATATCACTATGGGCTTCTGAGTAATGTTTATTTATTTTATTAATTGACTTATTATATTGTGCTTAAAAATATAAACAAAGCTCATGTTTTGTTTGTTTGTTGTTTTCTTTGTTTTGTTAGCTGAGTGTTTCTGATTTTCATATAAAATTAAAGTTATGTTGTTGGTTGATTTTTATTACTTTTATTATTTTATTTTATTTATTTTTTTATTTTTATTACTTTATATTCGTTCAAAAATTCTGAATTACCCACTATCACATACAGACATATCTATATTTTTTACAAAACTTCTGGATTCCTCCTGCGTCGGTTTTTGCTGAGTCGAACTTGCTGACGTTTCGCCAATCCTGTTGGCTTCCTCAGAGCTTGATTGAAATTGGCTCGCATTTTACTCTGTACCTGCTTATATATTGTTTGAGGGGGCGGTGCTAAATGAGATGCCAGGAGTTTACAGCATTTCATGCATATGTAGCAAAAAATACATTGGAGAAACCGGACGAAAAATATCTACTAGGCTCAAAGAACACGAAAGAGCCTTACGAAATTCTTGCATGTAATCAATTAGTCTATCAATAAAAAATCAGGTCTCTAGCTGTCACCAATATTGGAATCAGTCATCCGAGACGATGTTTATGCCCCTCATTTAGCTCCGCCCCCTCAAACAATATATAAACAGGTACAGAGTAAAATGCGAGCCAGTTTCAGTCAAGCTCTGAAGAAGTCAATAGGATGATTGCAGAAACGTCAGCAAGTTCGATTAATTCAAACATTATACAATTTTTGTTTGCGATTTTATTGAAATTATTATTTAAAAAAATGTTTAATCAATTTTCTTCACAATTAGTAGAAATATGAGTGAAGAAAAATATTTTTTATATTGATATTGTATGTCGCTTTGATATAAATAGATGTTCAAAGAGTAAAAAGAATTATTACAATTTGTAAAGGGAGCATAATACGTGAAAAAACTCAAGAGAAAATATAAACGAATGAAACAAATGTTGATAACGTCTGATTATGCTGTTTGGTGTGAGGATGGTTGAAATGCTTCCAACAAAGATTTAATTATTGTCTAACCATAGGCAGATGTATACTGATTTTTAGGTCTTGGTCTTAATTTTTTAAGATTTTTTCTATGAAACGGTAACGTCCGGTGTTCATCAGGAGCCAATTCCTAGTTCTTTGCGGTTTGTGGATTTCATTAACGCTACTGCAAGGGATGTTAATGTGCAATTTTTTATATATGCTGATAATGACGTACAAATGTTCTCTACCATCATGTCACGATAATACAAAGTACTTTAAAATGGGTCAATTCCTGGTGTAAGCTCAATAACCTTCCTCTAAATTAAAAGAACTATACTAAAACTGCATGTAAATAGTAATTCAATAATAGTAATAAATTATCTTTACGTGATGTGACGAAAAATGCAGCACAACTTTGGATATTGATTTTGAGTTTGTTGCTAGCGTTACAAATTTTACATAGGATAAACGCAGCATGAAGTTTAACTTTAGAAAAGCCAACTTACCTCTGCTGACGAAAAAATGCAATTGGGCGACTAGTCTACATTACATGTCTCAGCTGAACCTAATCAAGTACGCGCTTCATCTTTCATGTTTCAAGAGGTCATGCATAATGTTTTTGCTTCAACTGTACCTAGATATAGACAACGAAAGATCGTATCCTTGTTGGTTTAATTTTGATCATTAGTGAAGCGGCAGATAGATCTGTTCAGTGTTGTCTATATTCTAGAGATAAAGGCTAGCGTAATCAGTAATCCGTTATAGTTTTGGAATTACCTCAACTTAAAAAAAGGAGTATCCTACCCCTGTCTATGCATTTAGATGAACCTGAGTTTAATACTCCTGAAGCAATAGTTGGCGATTTTATAGAGTTCTTTTCAAGAGCATTTCCCAGTCTTGTTTTGATCGCACTGTTTCTATTAAGTTTCTGAATAATCTTTACTTTCACATTGGTCCAAACTCCGATATTATAAAAGAAATCAAGACCCAAAATGACCGCCGGAGTGGACAATATCCCCCATCCCCTAGAGGAATTTCTAGAAATTTTTTTTTATAACTCAAAATGATTCCAAAAAATTACAAAACGCTTTGCTCATGGTAAGTCAGTGTTGCTCTATGAACTCTCTGCAATTTAATGCTGTCTTTTTATCGAAATAATAGTCCAATGTTGTTCCACTAGACACTCAACTCTGTGCCCCTGAAGCGGTGTGATACCTTCAAATAACGTGGTTCGCAGTGTTGTGTTTGCCACTAACTTTACTTTTACTGACCACATATCAAGAATAACATCGCAAACACAGTTAGAAATTGGCGAGGTCTGTCCAACATCTTTCGCCTTAAACTTATCTACACAACTTTTAAAAGGATTGAACTGGAATATTCATCTATATTAGTGCTTACAATATTTTGACTTTAAGTTACATGGATACTATCCTCCAAGGGGAACTGATTTGTTTTATTATACCAATTGTTTGACATGGAGTCTCTTAAGGTTAGACAGACTTGTTTCTGCTATAATTCACACAGTACTGACATTTTTATAATTTTAAAGGAAGGGCCAATATGATGGTTAGATCACCAATTTATCAAGCGTGTCTAAATTTTGACCACATTATTGACTTTTCTTTTTTTTTTAATTATTGTTAGGAACAATTTTCGTTTTTGAAGAGTCTAATAAAGTGTGGTATAAAGCGAAGTTTCACATAGCTAACTTTTATATGTATTTTTCTTCAGATGATAATAAGATGGCACACGACAACAGTGCTGACATTTTTATAATTTTAAGGGAAGGGCCAACATGATGGTTAGAACTCCAATTTATCAAGCGTGTCTAAGTTTTTACCACATTGTTGACGTTTCTTTTTCTTTAAATTATTACATTATAGTTTTAGTGAAATTTGGAAATGCATTTGATATTTGCACAATTTATATTTTCATTTGGATCTTATGTGATTAATTTAATAATAAATAAATAAAGCCTGGTCTAATTAATTATATCGAAATTAAAACACCAAAAGGGAAATCGTCACAACTAACTCCTCAAATTTTACCAAGTGTTATGAACGAAACACCAACAATTCCGTTCGAGGTCCTAAATTGAGAACGAAGCGAGCAAAACAATAGGAGTGGAAAATTACGAATCACAGTCGAGGTGCAAACGAATCAATTTAAAACGACCCCATCGATTTGAGGAAGGTCGAATTAAGTCCGACTCCGAGAACAGGATGGGTGGATGCATCCAGAAAATGATTTATTACTTGGGGCCCCTCCCCCACTTGCGCCGCCGCTTGGTTTAATTAAAATGCGAAATAATGAAACGGACGGAACGTACAAGCGAACACGACGACGAATTTTGAGCGAGATAATGATGTACGTGCGGTCATCCGAGGAGTTATTTAGTTTGCAATCCGCTTTGGCGTGTTATTGTGTGCGTTAACTACTTTACCGACCGCTCGAAATTTTAATTTGCGAGTTGACGTTTTTCCATGTCGCGTTCCGAAATCTGTTTTGGAGTATTTCACGTTGAAACGGGCGGGGGAAAAAGAGGTTCAAGTTTCCAATTTCCATTTAATTTGGGTACTTTGTACAAGGATATCGTTTTCAGTGTCTCCCTTTGAAAAGAAAGCTTCGCTATTTGCCATTTTTTAATTTCGGCATAGTATATTATGCAACAAGTGCGGTAAACGGCATTTGACTCACGTGTTTATTTGACATGAGCGGAGCCCAGCGGACATTTCCGGGATTTTACCGGACGGGTTTGGGAACAATCGGATGTTTTCGAAGATATTTCCCACGCTTTGAATTTTGACATTTGTCAATTCTGACAGTCATGTGTTTTGCGAAAATGTACGCAAAAACTAATGGTAGTAGAAAAACTATAGTATGCAACACGTTCGGTAAACTTTTTGACTCACTCGTTTATTAAACACTCCGCTGCGTTCCGCTCGTGTCAAATAAACTCGTGAGTCAAATGCCGTTTACCGCACTTGTTGCATAATATACTATTTTCTACTCCCATCTGAAAAATACTTACACTTTACCATGTCAGTTTCATTTCAAACGGATCCGAGCCACTTCGGACATTTCCGGGATTTTACCGCACGGGTTTGAGAACAATCGGATGTTTTCGGGTATTTTACCGCACGGTTTGATTTTTGACGTTTGTCAATTCTGACGGTCATGTCAGTGAATGTATTCGTGTTGTTTTACAAAAATGTACCCAAAAACTAATACATTGAAAAATATTGCGCAATATATTATATCAGACAATTTAAATACTACCTGCTATAAGCTACAATTAAAATCTAGTGGACTAGCCGGGTAAGTAAAGTGACATTTATACATTTTTTAAAGTGTTTTTTTTATAGTAATATTTAATCAAGACCAATTATTTTCAATTTTCAAATATCCATTTCTCAGTACAAAGAAAACAAAAATTGAAGGTTAGGACCTGCTGTTTCTTGTTTATAGGATCTTAAATATTTATTTAAGCTCTATGCTTGGATGATTTTTCTTCCAGTTACAGTCTTTTTCATTAAATAAACTACATGACATATCCAATAATACATCTCTCTCTGTCCAACGTACACAGTTAAAAAGAGACAATAATAGCAGAACCGATCGGAATGATAAACTATGCCAACTAGTAAATACTATGTCTGAATGGTAGGAAATTCAGTAATCCGATAATCAGTTGTTATTTTCAATTTGTTAAATTGTGATTTTCTCGCTATGCTAGTGCCAGATAAACTCGTGAGTCAAACACCGTTTACCGCACTTGTTGCATAATATACTATTTTCTACGACCCTTAGGTTTTGGGTACATTTTCGAAAAACAACACGAATACATACACTGACATGACCGTCAGAATTGACAAACGTCAAAATTCAAAGCGTGTGACATATCTCCGAAATCATCCGATTGATCCCAAACCCTTGCGGTAAAATCCCGGAAATGTCCGAAGTGGCTCGCATTCGTGGGGAACGAAACTGACGTGGTAAAGTGTGTAATTAGGTAGTTTACAGACGGGAGTAGAAAAAGACATTTTTCGTGTAACTTTTGAAGAATCAATCTTACACATTATTTTCAAATTTTGGCAGCATTCGTCATTTTGCATCTTTGATTCGGCTTCATCCTAATAGAAATATACAGGACCCGTAAAATGGCGTCTTTATAACGTTCATAATTATTACTATAATTTTACCCAACTAAACTTTTGTATTGACGTTCCTTGTGTTTCGTTTTGCGGCCAAATATACAAACTAAAGGTCACTAAAAATAAAAACACTGCCTCTAAGAGCGGAATTTTATTTGATCCTTCGTCTAATCTTTCGACACTATCTCCTATCTGCTTCCTTTGCCTCGCTGGCTCGTTCCGTTCTGTCTTTTAACATTCAAGGAAACGAACTTCGATTTTCTTGTTGCGCCATTTTATTTTTTATATCCTTTGTTTACTTGGTTTGGATCACGAGTATATCTGCATAATAGCTACAATTCGTCGAAAAATTGCCGTAATGAGAATTTCGCGTCAAAATTAAAAAAAAGTTTATAAAGCTTTAAGTTGAAGATTAAATTTAGTATGCCGGAAAGTTTTTACTAGTAACTCAATTCTGCTTATGATAGTAAACTTGCAATTTGGGCGATTGCCTTTAATTAAATATAATAACGTATCCCGTATCGCTATGAGAACTACAGCATTGCATTAAAGTTAATTAATTAATTTATACAAAAGATTAAGCAGCCATATCACTCGAGAGTTTTAGTTCTGGTCGCGATGAATCTTGAAAATTTCTTTTGAGAAAGTTGTTCTGGATTCTTATCCGATTTAAACAATACGACCATACTATAGAAGAGTAAGATAAAATGCTAAGTACTAGTGTTAAATACGAGATACTGAAGATACTTAATAGTAAGGAAACCAGCACCATCTCTACTTTGTCCGTTACAAGTGAAATGCCGACTTTTATTATCTTAGCGATTTAAGAAATAACTTTTTTTGAAATATAAAAGAGTTTTTTTATGCCTCTAGACTGAAAAGGCTCTAGAGGACCCTAATTTTACTGCAGCGGCAGTAGCAGAAGTGGAAGAAGAGGAACGGCAGATTCAACTGGCGATGGAAGATATAGTTTATCAGCAGCTCAATCCCAGAAGATCAAGTAGACGTTCTTTGGAAACTTCTAGCGCTCCGCATGGATTCAGCAGGAGTTCTAGATTCTCGTCAATAGGAGGTAACGTTTTGGAATTTAAACTGTTTCTACTAAATCTTTCCGGTCCTCCTTCAGGTTATAGCAGTTTGTTAGAGCCGCCAATTAGGGTATCACCTAGATTGCCGTGTTTCATCGACGAAGACTCTCCACCAGAAGACGGTACTTCAATTTACGACGAGGTGTATTACAACAGGTAGGTGATGATTGACTGAAATGAAAACTTGGATCCTGTACCCCAACGGCTAGAGATTACCGTGACGATTATATTTTAATTAGTATAAAACAGATTCAGTTATCCAGCAGCTAATTCTGATAAAATATTAAATTAAAAATAGGTATTGCGTTTACCACTCTGTATTTAGGTCAAAAGTTGAAGTCATTAGTCGAACTTTTCTTATTAAAATGAGTTAACAATTCATAGCCCCAAATATCTTATTTCGAATCTTTAAATGTTAACATAAACTGTATGTTATACTAGCCGCCTGTATTCTGTTTCATCAAACGACGAACGCACTCATGGAATATGTTTCCCATTAAGCTGGGCTTATAGTTCATGTTGTACATTTCAGTCATTTGAACGTTCCCCGTCGTCCCAGTAATATAACATGTTCATCGTCGGGAAGTTCTTATCTGGAGAGGAGAGATTCCGCGGTGACGTTGGGTCTTCCGGCCCTTCCAGCGCACAAATTCAAATCGTCGCGGAGACCATCTTCGCCTTTGCCGGAGATTTACGACTTCTATTACCCGATAGATATTCGAGTGACGCAACCGACCCCCGGCGGTTCACCCTGTGGCAGCGACAGGGCCATCTACGACAGGGTTGACGACCAACCCAAACTCAAGCCCAGGATAGCACCGCTGGCTTCTATTAGCAGTTGCAACAGTTCGTTAGGTATGCTTCCATTTATTTTAATGTTGTATCTTGAATCCAATTTTTATAAGATGCATAGAAATGTACCATTATGGATTTTTTAAATAAAAACGGCATATACAAAAATCTTAAATATAATGAATAGTATAAAAAAGTAGAAAAAGGGAAAAATATGTGAGAATATATTTTTTTAAAACCCAGTCGAATAGCTACTAATTTTTGCCTATTTTTCCGGAAAAATTAAATGCGCCAGACTAGATATATTACTGCCAAGAAATTTTCTAACTTATCGCATCTCCAAGCCCAAAAATAGCGTCAAATTTTATAAAATCAGTCAACGCAAGCAGTAGCTTTGGTAGCATAATACTATCAAAAATTTTAAAAAGTATAAACGAAAAAATATTTGCTATTGCTTGTGCTGGATACGTGAAATCATACCTCAAAATTTGGAAAAGTGTTTATTTTTAATTTATTTTGGTCAATTTTAAAATAGAAGAGTGGTAATTTTTTATCTACTGAGAGTTTCAGTTTAGATGTTTCCGTGAGCAAAACTTCGTTATTAATCATGATACGAAGGTACTGTTAGCATATTATTTTGTGAGAATTAAACCATAACAAAATGAGATTTTGAATAGTAGGTAAATATAGTTTCTGGACCAACAAATTTAAATATATCCCTATCCTGATATCTTTATACTAAAATCAATGTTTGTATGCTTCAAACTTAAACGCCTTCAGTTTGAACACCTAACGTAGCATTCTAAAGTGTAATTTAAAGTTAACTTTTATAAGATCCTCGAGTCCAACTTAAAATGTAAATATCTGCAATAGTAAAGATGATATGACCAATTTTTTATATTGCCAACATAACCAATACCAATTACCAATTTTTACAAAATTTTGTGTATGGATAAAAATGTTTTAAAAATAATGAATGACTTCGTCGATTTCAACCAATTTCGGATTATTTTTTGTTTGCCCTAAATAAAATAAAGTGATGGTGGTTCGTTAATTATGTAAATATCAATAACTGCGGATTGGGTTGTCGAACTAGGACTCGTTTAAAGAACTGTACAGGGTGGTCGTAATGGAGTGTTTTAATTTCTGAAATAGATAAAGCAAAAGCAACTTACATGTTGATGGCTCGATTTTTGAGAAACATTTAATGGTTAAAATCATATATATCTTCACTCTCAAGCGAGATATAGGGAGGATTTCAATTTTAAGCCTTTTTGACACTATACTATAACCTTCTTATTTATAAAAATTTTGGATTCGGATGAAAACATTAATAGAGCATGTTTTTAAGGCAAATACAGTGGCGCAATTTTTCCACAGTTCTCCGTTTTCTAACAAATGGTCTTAAGAAAATGCTCGCGTAGAGCCCTTTTCAGCCATATAGATTTGTTGGTATCTGTGATGAAAAAATGTATTAATAGGTCGTGCTTTTAAGGACACAAATTTTATTCTTTATTGAATTTTGCGATCTGTTACGCATGATAAATCAGGAAATCCAGGAATTGGAGAAGTATTGGAAAACCCAAGCATATCCTGACGGGCACTGGTTGACGTAACAAACGCTGGAAATACTAAAGTTTTCACTACTTTATAAAAACATAAATTCAAGCCATATCGTACCATAAAATGCCGGTCGAGGAATACAATTTTGCAATGGGTTTACAAAAAAAAAAGAAATAAAAACATTAATTTTTCATTGTCTAATGTTTGTAGTGATGAAGCGAGAATCTAATTTTCCGAAATATTGAACAGATACAATTCTTATTTCTGGCGCACAGATAATGTGGTAATTTTTGAAGTTAGATTTGTTGGACGTTATTTTTTTTTATGAAAATCTGACCGCGGATGTTTATATAAATATTTTGCAATCATGTGTTGCTCCATTTTTGAAAGACTCACGATTAATTCTTGGAAGGAGTATTTATTATCAGCAAGATGGTTGCCCGACTCACAACGCACGAATTGTAAGTGAACTTTTAAATCGAGAGTTTGGACGATGTTGGATTGGAACTAAGCAGAGTTAGAGGAAGCCACTCGAGAAGCGTTTGCCATTCAGTGCGAAAAAAGTGCTTTCAGTGTATTGAAGAGAGCGTCGCCCAATTTCAACGTTTACGTCAAAATATTTCAATATAATTAATGTAAAAGTTGAAACTTTAATATTTTGCATTCTAATATTTATTGTATTTTATTAGATTATAATTATTTCCGCCTTTTTTCGACGCAGATACCAACAAATCGATTTGGCTGAAAAAGGCAGGACACGGGCATTTTTTAAGACCATAGCCAACTACGATTGACATATCAAATAAGAAAGTTGTATTCATTTATCGGAAAACGGAGAACTGTAGAAAAAATATGAGTACGCCACTGCATTTGCCTTAAAGAATTCCCCTAATATTGTTTTTATCCGAATCCAAAATTTTCGTAAGCAAAAAAGTTATCGGCAATTTTTAAAATAGTTGAAAATTAAAAAATGCTCTATATCTCTAAATCGAGCCCTTAACATGTAAGTCGATTTGGATCTATCTAGTTCAGAAATAGGTTTTTCCTATTCAAACACTTCAATTACGACCACCCTTTACATAAAATTCTGAAAGTCTCTATGATTTTAATAAAGAGCACTGACTATAAGAAAATATTAAACAGTAAAATAGAGCCAATAACTAACGTGATTCGCTGCGTATATTCGGTGATGTTCCAACTTAAATCTTTTAGGAACCGAATATATGGAATGCGAGGGCCTGTCTTACGTTGACAGCTCGTCGCTTCCAGACGAAGAAGACGAAAATACAGACAATGAAATCGATCCGTTCTCCACCGACAGCGATGCAAATAGTGAGACCAGCCGTTACGCAACAGGGCCGCAATCCAAAGTGCTTTCTGGCGAAAGTTCTTCCACACCGACGCCGGGAACGAGTCATGGGTAAAATATTAGTCATTAACAGTGCTCTGATTAATTAGAATGTGTGATTTTAGACACGCGGAAGATAAATCTTCGTGTCGCCTTGCGGATTTCATCAGATCTTCCAAGTCGTCGTCAACTCTATTGGAAAATACACCGCTGCCTCAACTCACGATGACTGACGTTCACAGATTATCAGCATCCAGCAGTAAATTAGACAAATACTCTTGGGCTCAAGAGACTCTTTTCTAAAATGTTTGACACGTCGCTGTTACCGCGTCGAAATGGACTTTTGGATGGCAGCGGCTCAACCCTCTCATCTGAATAAATACAGGGTAGCGTAAATAAAACACAGGTGATTAAAAGTCGAATTTGAAAACACCTTCGGTCGAAAATCTTCCTGTATTTTCCAACCCCATTTTAGATTCAAATTCCATCACCCTGTTAGACTGAAGAAATAGTTTTTGTATTATACCACGTGAGGTTCCTATGAATATTTTTTGTATCTTCCAGAAGCGTATAATAGTGTATCAATATCAATATAGTTGAAAGAGGTTCGATAAAATAATTATTTTGTGTTGGATGATGGATAAAAGCGGATACAATTAAATTCGATTTACATCTATTATTTTTGGTTTACCAAAAAATTAATAAAAAAGCTAGATTTTGTTTAGTTTCATTTTACGGTTCTAATCGAGAATTTTCCAAGATGGTTGTTGTAGCAAATTTTCTAGAAAATTCAAAAACAATGAAAAAAATCAGAAGATTTTGATTTATTTTGCAGCTTATTGTTATTCAGTCAACAAAAATAATTCCGATGATATAAAAACAACCGGAAAGATTTATTATTATTTTTACTTAATTTTCAAAAATTCAAGCCATATATCGCGTTTCCGTTCGGTTCAATGATTAGTTCGTTGCCAGTCGACTTTAAATTTGACGTCTTAGACATAATTGTCAAGTTTTGAAAACACGACTAGGTTGGCGATATTGAAATAATTCTGTAAATCTTGTATGTTAGAATAATTGTAAGCCAAACATTCATTAAATGACGTTGAAAAAATCTGTTGTACAGTAATATATGTATATTTTTTAAACTGTATAGAAAAAAAAAATGATCGTTTAGAATGTACCGATTTTGTTTATGATCTTGTTTTTGTCGCGACAGATGGAAAATAAATACATGTATCGTTGTTAATCTTATGTCTTTTAATAAATACCGCGTGTATCCGCCTTTGAAAAAAAATTATTCGTCACCTTTTTAAAATGTTTATTTAAAAAATTAAAACTGTGTTTACAAATTATTGATTATTATCGTCTCTATAAAAAGAAGGGTGCGTACGTTATCTGAAGCACTGTTTTCCACCCGCACGCAAAATTTAACTCCACTACAATGCGGACCAAAAAGTGAACTCATTTATTTAGTTTTTGGACTTCCTGATCTGCAACGTAATTTCGAGTATATCACATTTAATGCGAATCAAATAGTTAGCAAGCTGGTTGTTAAAAAAGCATCCACTTCCTCTTACGATGTACCGACTTAGTAAAGCGCGAAAATTTTATACACAGTGATCTGAAAAAATCTGCATCTCGGTCAGCGAAATTCGTATAATGCGAAGATGGCAGTCGATCGGTTTTATTATTCGTTCTCAGTTCTTAATAGTGTTCAGCGTAGGGCGAGTGTCTGATCCCGAAACTGTGGGCCGGAGGATATTCTAGTACCACCTAGAAGTAATAAATCAACATGAAAAACTAACCGATCAATGTGATTTTAAAATAATATACCTCGTATTTCCCGACGTGTCTAAATTGTGGTGGACGCAGGTTTTGAGGTCGTTAATTTGTTAGTAGTCACTTTGCGCGTGTTAGAAAAGCAGAGAGCTCTTGTCATTTTTAAGGAACGTACTGTATGAGCCCAAGTACGGAGAATGGCGAATTCCGAATGAGTGACAGGGGGCTCGGTGCAAATGGGAGTCCACCTAAATATGGATTAGTAATAGAAATTAGTTATGTGGATTAGACTAAAAGTTCAAAAAATATACAAACATTTTATCGTATTTGAATCTTATCTTTAATGATAATTTCTACCCATATACTATTCATTTATATATTATATTTTAGGTGGTGTTATTCGGAAAATAATGATTAAAATAATTAATATTGAAAAAATAAATAAAGCAATCATTCACTTCATCTTTAAAGACATCTCAAAGTTTTTTTACGCAAGCAAAAAATTATTTCAATAATTTTAATTAAAAAATCTCTGGGAAAAATACGGAATAATTCGAACTAATCTCTATCTATAGTCAATTTTTGTGACCTTATATGCTACAAGTGACAACTGAAATATCAACACTTTGGAGAAATGTTTATGTATTTTAGATGGCACGGGATCGGCAGTTTGTTACAGAGTTAGTTAAGTTAACGGGAAGTTGCATACTAATGTACCTGTTCACATGCGGTTAATCGGTAGTTCTGAAAATATGTCGGAAAAATGCAATTTTAGAGAAAATTGCTTCAACTTTTGGTTTTATTTCAAAAGGATGGATAAACATCGATTTTGAAGTAATATTTGAGAAGCCACTGACACTGTTTATGCAATCCCATCTAAAAGTGTAAAAAAAAGCGAGTAGAAAAATTGTTTTCGGTACCTTTTCGGGCGAGTACACTCCAGGCCCAGGAATGTTGTCGTCTTTTGGAATGTTTATCCGTCCGCTGATAGTATAGGCGGGGGTGTGAATTTTGTAATGCTCGGGGTCCACGTTGTTATATTGTCCCGGTCCCGGATTTTTTACTCTTTCGTCGATGGGCTCCTTGTTCCTCCCTGAAATGGTGAATGCCGGAGCGTTTTTCTTATCTCCGACTACAGACGGGATGTTATAAACATTTGGAGCTAAAAAGTCAAGAAAATTAGCTAAAGGGCGATATAAATCGCTACTTAGTATATAGGGTGATTCTAGTTGGGTGTCATATTGAAAGAGAAATAGCAAAGAAAAGAATAGCCAAATATTTTCAGAAATACAGAGTTGCCAACACAGGCTAGCCAACATAATTTTGAAATTTCAACTTTCAACGCTATATTTCATTATTATTAAAAATAAATAATAATAAAATAATTTTTTTTGTCTTTTTAGATTTTTCAAAAATGAAAATTGAGGTATTAATTTTATTTTTTATGAAAATCACTGCGTACCTAAGTATCTTCTTCGACGATATATGTGTATATATTACAAAAACTTGCATTTTTTGGTAATTTAATATTACTTTTTTTTTAAGTTGTAGAGGATAGGTAGATTTTAATATACTTAACATACTTATAATTTTGTAGGAATTTGGGAAGATTCCTTTGTTAGTTCTCTCAAACAAATCCCCACTATATATAGTATACGTTCAATCTTTTGATAACAATCGAAAATTCTGATGCTGAATGGTTTCGTGAATCTCGTGCAGTACTCAACATTTTAATATCAAAGCTATCATCTTAGTTGTAAGATTTAATAAAGCTCAAACCCACCGGGGGTGTCCAGTGGTTTTTCCAAATTGACTTTATTTCCGAAACTGTAGTGGGGCGAATTTTCATGCAAGGCACCATCTGCCCTGGGAACATCGTACACGTTGGGTGCTACAAGGTGCGAAAATTAAATAAAAACAGTGATCGAAAAAAAAAGAGTCGATTACGCAAGTGAGCATTAGTTTGCAAAATAAAGACAATAGTTATTAACATCACTAACCAGGCGTGTCAGAAGGTTTTTCAGTGGGTGTTTTAACTCCAAAACTGTACTTTGGTGCGTGGTCATGCAAACGCTTTTCAGATTCGGGCACATTATACACATTCGGTGCTGTAAATTAAAATATTAATTCGACATGCAGTGCCGGAGACCATAGTGCTGTAACACTATAAATAATGTAAATAAACTATTTAATTCGCGCAAAAATTGCGCTCGATTGAAATGATGATGGTCTAAAGTATAGAATTAAGTCTATGGTCGAAAGGCCAAGTTGGTTGAAAAGGTTTGATATTGGAATAGAAAGAAAGAGAAAGATCAAATATAGATTCGGAAGAAATGAAATAGGAGAAGAATAAACCACAGTATCAGCATATCAATGTTCATAATTTAATAACAATTTTATTTAAAATGGTTTTTCAACTACCAATCGTTACATATGGAAACATTAAAAATCTCAGAAAAATTCATTAACATTCACACAAGAAAATAAAAAGCAAGTGCCTTGAAAATGAAAATTTTCGACCGAATACAGTTGCTGATGCTTAATACTAGATTAAGATCGGTTTTACAACTTACAAATAATGGTTCCACAAAATGTGTGCTATGGCCATACCTCGAACAGAAATTTTCGTAAAGACTGGGTGAAAAAACTTGTGAATAAATCGGCCAAGAGGACATGATGGAAATTACTTAATTTTCAAGAACAGCCAACAGGGGGTGTAATCTCAATGTTAAATTTTCAAATCTCATTTTTTTACAGACAACAAAAATTAACACTATTTTAAAGTTGAGATAAATTCGATTCTTTAATGTGGAATAGTTTTTGCTCTACCTCTGAAGGGAAATTGACGAGGCTGTCTTAAAACTTTTGGATAAATATCAACAACTTCAAAATAGCTGAACACCTTTCGTCAAACTTGGAGTCGTACAAAAGGGCTCTGCTTAGGCCATTAACGCTCACTTGAGCGGATTGATTTCGATTGCTTATATCGCCAGTAGAGGGCGTTTCGCGACATCACTGCAAATAAAAATCATTTTCTCAAGATATGACTTTTATTGCAACAAAAGATATGCAAATAAGGATCTTACTCCCTAGTGAACACCTCATATCGATATCTCCTTCCGAACCTTTAATATCAAAATAAATAAGAACTAAAAGTTCAGATTTTCACGAAATTATATATTATGACATGACAGTTGTTTCGACAACACCGTGTCTTTATCAAATGTGTGTGATAAAGACACGGTGTTCTCGAAACAATTGTCATGTCATAATATATAATTTCGCGAAAATCTGAACTTTTAGTTCTTATTTATTTTGATAAATGGATTTTCATCAAGTAAAAGCCACCTCAGTTAGACCTTTAATATCAGTAAAAGAAATAAAAACAAAATATTGTCTTTATCTTGGGGAATATTTTCAAAGTACCTAAAATTATTAAACACTAATTTCCATTCTTTAAGCAAAATAAGTATAAATTTACAGTTAAAACGTCAACATTATATTTAAAATGTCAATAATAATCAATACTCATTCTCATACCTATGACTGAAATATTATTTATTATACAATTTATTACAAAAACGAAAAACAATAACAGAGATAAAACACTAAGATATTTGCGTTTTAAAGTAGGATAATCCACTGCATACATTCTAACAGAAACAGTTGCGTTTTCAATAATTTGAAAATAAATACAAAATATATGCAGGTGGATAAGATATATTTTTACATCATAATAAGACTGACACTTAAACGCCACCATTAAAATTTTTGGTTATTTTGTTTTCCACAGCACATCTGGATTTTAAAAAATTCGAATTTTATGTGGACAGATGAGCAATATTCAATCATATTGAATGAGTATTAATTATTATTGACATTTTAAATATAATGCTGGTATTTTAACAGTAAATTGCTATATATTTTGCTTAAAGAATGTAAATTAGTATTCAATATTACCAATATTGTGACAAATATCTTCCAACCCGCCTGACCAGCGTGGAAGATTATTGCGAAAATACCTTCCCTAGGGAATAGGCTGCGCTGAGAAAAAAATCCAATATACTGAAAATATTCCCAACATTATTTAGGAAACATAAGTTAGGAAAGAGATATTGAAATGACCTTTGCACTAGGGTGGCAGACTCTTAATTGGCAATATTTTGTTGCAATAAAAGTGATATCGTTGCATTTAATTTCTTGGAAAAAAGAGCTCGTTTCAACAGTTCCAAGCTAGACAATGTGTTCAACCATTCTGAAGTTATTGACATTTATTCCCGAAAATATTCTAACACGAATTTTCTTATAGTGAACTATTTCAAACAGTGGTAATGGTAAAAATGTGGCACGTGCAGATTAAGTATTTTAATTACTTATTTATTAATTATTAATATTTAAAAATTCTTATGAAAAAAAAAACTGAAATAAACGTTATTCCTACAATCAGAAATAAAAGAAACTATGACCCCGCATCGATAAAAAGAGATGTTTTTTATATCACTTATTATTCTTGTAAAGTTTTGTAGAGGATTCTGCCAATGACGAGGAACAAATATCCAAGACGAAAAAGTCATGGAATTATTGAATTCCATCTTTTATTTATTTTATGCCTTTTCGTTGTTCTTTTTGATAGTTGCCATTTGTTTGTTCTGTATTTGGGAATAAAGAAAAAATCATTTTGAATTGCGCATTTTATTTTAGAATTGAACAATCTCCATTATTTATTTTCAAAATATACAGAAGTTATAGAATTAAGTAATACCTATTTTTCATTTCCCTAAAATTTGTAAAAATTTGAAACTATACCCCAGAAATAATAAACTTGAACGCATGACGAAAAGAAAGAGATGATTTGAAATAATGAGAAATAGCGATCTTGAAAAAGATGATAAGAAACATAAAACAAGAAAAAAAACTAACCAGGCGTGTCTGAGGGTTTCATCGTTGTAGTTCTTCTTCCGAATGAATAGCGATGTCTGTTTGTACGCACAATGGTGTTATAAGCATTAGGGGCTGTTATAATAATAGGAAAATTAGAAAACCACACCAATATACTTTTAATTACAAATAATTAAAATCCATAACCGGTTAATCTATAATTTCCGGATATATTTATTTAATGCGCCATTCTATGGGAAAGGGACCATTATACAAATGAGATTGTACAAGCTGGCTATGGATCCTTTTCATTATTACTCCATTTTTCGTGTTACCAAAACAATTTAATCCGAATTCTTTAAAAACTATTTCTAAACATTTGTTAAGAGCAACCTATGTATGTATGTCTGTATGTCTTACTAATAAACTGCAAAAGCGATCTACAATAAAAGTGCAAAACCACTTACTATCAATTAATATCTCGTAACCAAATAAGTACTCACCCGGAGTATCCAAAGGTTTTCCCGTATTGGTCTTTAACCCAAATGTGTACTTTGGCGAGTTATCGTGGATCACTTTTTCGGCCTTATCTGGATCGTAGTCCCCTGGAGCTGGGAAGTTGTCCGCTCTAGGGTCTTTTGGTCTGCTGTGTAGACTTAGAGCTGGTGGATTGTCTTTGCCTAATAGAAAATCAAATTAATCAATTAATGGTTCAGGTGGGATGCGAGTTGACTCACCCTTAGCGCTAAGTCCGGTTACGTTGTACTGTCCAGGACCTGGTCCGACACTTTCTAATTTCCCATTGGGCTTTCCGCCAAAGCTAAAGGCTGGAGCGCTGCCTGTTTTCGCTTCTAGTGGTTTTTTGCCTGGAGGTAGAGGTCGTTTTGAAGAAATTAATTTAACCATTAACCAATTGACAATTTCATTTTAAGTGAAAAAAATATCGAAGATAGATGGAGACTGGATTCTTTACGCTATGCCAGACAGTCTCAGATGAGTTAATCGTAGTACGGCTCAATACAGTATAAATGAATATAAATAAGAACTAAAAGTACAGATTTTCTCGAAATTATATATTTTTAAATGACAATTGTTTCGTAAATACCGGGTCTTCATCAAATGTAATATTTACAACAACAACCTGCTACTATATATACCCAAAAAATGGCAATAAAACCTTAATTAATGTTCTTTTTAGAATTTAAGTTCAATTAGGGAGAGGTATTTAAATATAATTGATCGTTAATTGGTTGACATTTCAATGTCTCATTTTTTTAATCTCCATGGCTTCCAATAAATTAAATTTTCTACTATTTGTGGCTGTATGTAAAATGTCAAAATTGTCGTCAAAAACGTGTTTTTATGTGTTTAAGTGTGCAGCATAATTAGAATATAGACTATTGTTTTTTTAAAGGATCTTTTATGTTCGTTAATGCGTTTCTTGAAGGATTTACCTGTTTGTCCAATATAAATTTTAGGACAAGATCCGCATTTCAACCTATTTTATTTGTTTTTGTTTTATTTTTTTTAAAAACAATAAAACGAAATGTCCAAAATCTCAAAAATTAGATGTCTACAGGTTGAAATGCGGATCATTTCCTAGAATTAATATTGGACAAACAGGTAGATCCTTGAAGAAACGCATTAACGAACATAAAAGAGCGTTTAAAAACGATAGTCTAGATTCAAATTACGCTACACACTTAAACACAGAAAAACACATTTTTGACGACAATTTTGGTATTTTACATACAGCCACAAAAAGTAGAAAATTAAATTTATTGGAAGCCATGGAGATTAACAAAATGAGACATTCAAATGTATTGCTTAACGATCAATTAGATTTAAATACCTCTCCTTTATTGAACTTAAATTCTCACAACAACATTAAGGTTTTACTGCCATTTTTCGGTATATATAGTAGCACGTAGTTTTTAAATATTACATTTTATAAAGACACGGTGTTGTCGAAACAATTGTCATGTAAAAATATATAATTTCGTGAAAATCTTATTTATTTTGATAAATGGATTTTCATCAAGCAAAAGCCACCTCATTTCAATTTTATAAATGTAATAATTAAGGATATTTGTAGCATCTTCAATCTGGTCCTATGGATTCGTCTAAATTTTGTTGTTGTATGTATTATATGTTTTTATACAGGGTTTCTCACCCAACCGGTTTATTAAAAGTTGTAGTTAATGTAACTGCCAAGTGTCTTTTATTTTAGATATTTTCAACGTACTGTTGCTTCAGGTTCAACAAGAATTGGTTGTCAACTTGATTAATTGAAATGGAACATATTATTACATTTTGAGATTCTGTGTGAAATTCTAAACGTATTTTATGTCCGATATTTAAGGTTTTGAATAATTTGAGCTTAAAAAAAATTACACCTCCAGGTTAACCAGGTTTATATTACATCACCTGTACATGACGGGTAGTTATTATGTGATTCGGTTCCGTTGTGAGATAGTTATATTAATGTTAGTATATGGTGACGAGGCTATAGCAGCTATGTAGCTTGTACCTAACAGCCTATGAATTTCTATAATACAACAATATAATTGATACTAATTTATGGGAGCGAGATAGTTAACTGAAAAAATGTAAACCTGCTAGACGTGTACTTAATCTAATGCCATGAATTCTAATCAAGCGGTTTAACAACACTTGCTTAGTTATTAAGGTTGATGTCAGTCGCACATAAATTATCATTAATAAACTCTAGATTTGACAGATGCTAAGTAGGCGTCGATTCTTGTTTGTTTTCCGCGTATGACCGACGAAATATAAAAAAAAAACGATAATAAATGTTATACGTTTACTCCTCACTTAGTTACAAGTCACAAGGGCAAACACCAAACCAAGTTCTAAAATGAAAATTTGCGAATCACCTGGCCTATTACGTAATTAGTAGAGAATTAGTACGTTATCTGCCATATTTTATTGGTCGTTAAAATTATTCCCATAGAGAAATAATTCAGGATTGAAATCAATTGTAAATATAAAATATTTAAATGTTTGGAAACAGGCACCCACAAATGTGTTTTTGTTTTGGTTGGTAAATATTACTTAGTACTTAGTACTTGAATATTAAAAATTAACATACCTTTAAAATGAATTACTATTTACTAATCTGGACGTAGGATGAATCCAGAAGATTTCAAAATAGTATTATACTACCCTGTGGAAGTTTCTTTGAAAAATTATTACGTATTACCTATGTAAGACGGTAAGGACACACAAGCCGGCCCTGGACTGCTATACTCGGCAGCAATTGGCCCACGCCTCCTGGTAGGAGTCCACGGTCTCTGAGTCATGCCACCCATGGTGATCTGGAAAGGTAAAATTCATTAATCAGGACAAAGTGAATTTTGCAATTATCCACCAGACGCACACCAAGTAAATTTCGTTCGATTGAAAACATCTACACAAACGAGGTCTTTGCTCTCTCTTAGGTGATGCAAATTTGGTCACTGCTATATATAGATAGGCTGTTTATCGTAAGTTACAAAGCCCGAAGCGAAATAACAGTACCAGCACGAAAACATCGGCAAGGTGAACTTGCGGAAAGTATTAAGTCACCAGTTAATATACCATATCAGGAAACCCGTGAAATTAACGTTCGCCGATAAAAAAAAAAAAGTAGCGTAAAGTCAGGCAACACGGGTAATACCGAAATTATAGTAACAACTCTTTCAAGTTGTAGCAGAGCTAATGTGGGAATTTTGGGTACAATATTGAATACGAAGTTTCTGAAACAGCAAGATCCATTTTTCACAGTGTTGATCTTGATTGGTTTGGGGTTTGGGTGCTGATGGGCATCAAAATTTTATACAAAATGAAAATTAAACTGCATCGGAAGACGTGATAATTAGAACAATTGTTATTATTATAAATTTGTTTACTAAAATTTTCTTTATTTAAAAAGCACGCTTTCATTTTGCGACTTCCATTCCTGATCACCAGTTGTATAAAGCTTAGTAAAGAGATAAGGTAAGATAAGCTAAATACATGATTTCGGCTATCCTTTGGCTTAAAGTTACGACAGGAGTAACAAAACTGTAGTGGATTTCTTTTTTATGCAACCGACTCTAAGGATGTGATGACATATGTCGGGTCAAAATTTATACTTGAGAACTAGATTATTTAAGAAGTTTAAGTGAAAATATTTTCCTATTACTATTTATCTTTTTGCAGGCAATCAAACGAAATAATATTTTCCTGGGTATTTGGCGATATAAAACTGTTTTATTATAAAACAGATGAACATGCTCCACAATTTCTAGTACGTAATGTTAAATGAATAAAAAACTTTTATATGAGCGAACATACAGGAACCTATTATGTCGTTTCATTATAGTTTTTTGACATAAGCAATAGGAGAAACTTCAACAAATGCTTATTGCATTTACTGTTCGGTTTTAATTAATCCTCCAAGTTAAGCCGACAATTCGAGAACCGGATCGACAAATTCCCATTATTTCGCAAATCGTACACGCCAGCCGTGGCAAAAATAAGAAATGGCATGTACCAGGCACCAATTTAACTTGTAACAGAGTTTCGGCCCCGAATAATAAATAGGATGAACGTTTTACAGAATTTTCAGGGGAAAGTATCGACCCAGGATTGCCTCGTAACACTATCGGGTTAGTGATATTGGAAGCAACATACATAGCTTTTGATGTACTTATTATTTTAAAAAATAGGTTATTTCATGCACTCAGTGCCAGGAAGTGCATTTTTTTATTCAGTAGGAATATTATATACAATATCAGGAAATAATTTTAAAAAAGGAAATTAAAACCTTTTTAGCTACATTGGTTTTATTAAGTCAAAAATAAATTTATCGGAATAACCAATCAATTTACAGGAAACTGTAAGTAGTTTTTCTTTTACTCAGTCTTCAAAATGAATTTGTTAATGAATTTATTGAACCAAAGAAAAGTGACCACTCCATCAATGTAAATAATTCATTAAATTCTTAAAAATTCTTCTTACTACTCACTTTTTACTACTTTGAAATGTTGAAATATACCTCTGGTGTGATTACAAAATTTTATATATTTGTATAGCAAAGTTTATTATAACTAACATAAAAATTAGTACTTACTTAGTGTTTTAGTATGGAATAAATACAGGGGAAGGAAATGCAAAATCCAGACGCGACACAAGCGCTCGCGGACACTAAGATCGAGCTTTTTTCGTAAACTGATCTCTTCAGGCCGCGAAATCCTGCTTGTAGCCGTCGAAATTCCCCACCGAAGGTGAAACGACGACGTCACTGGAGCTCGCGCTTTGAGGACAACTCAACTAGGTTCTTTTATGGTAATGCGAGGTGGTGTCTGCAAGTGCTGATTGATGCTCTCGGATAAACTCGAAGTCTTTTTGAGCACTTTTATAAAGATGAGGCGCGTTTGGTTTCTGGTGGCCACTGAAATGTACTTATTCCCGGAAGATTTCAATTACAATTCATCAAAAGATCAAACCCTGCTCAACAATAATCAACAGAACAAGATTTGTGAATATTAACGTTAAATAAAAGACATTTTAAAACGTGCTCCTTTATAATTCTCGAAATACTCCTCTCGACGAGACGAGAGAAATATTTTCTCGCGAATAAAGCTCGAGGGAAAACGAGATATCTTTGGCCTCTCTATTAGTCTTAATCTTATGATATTGTTTTTAGTAGGTTTACATTGACATATTTAACAGTTAAACCGACAATCATATAAATTTATTAAAGGACGTAAAAGCAATTTTACACATTGAAGCATTTTTCAATAAATAGCCCCGAAATACAACAAAGAACAACATAAAATATTATATTAACCTCTACTCCTTTTCTTTGCTCCTCTCTATTTGGAATAATATGTTTAACTTAGCTTTGTGGTGTGAATGTAAAAACTAAGAAATATTGCGTACTTTGTCCTAAATCGCTTGTGTACTAGAATTTCTCGGAATTCTAATAATTTTATAGTAAATTATTATGCGTTTGTGATGTCCAATTTACCTATAACCCTCTGCAAGGAATACTCAATACTTAGCAATTCTGGGAATAACAATAAAATATCCGCTCCATTTGGTTCTTCAAACGACGCAATCGTTGCGTAACGCACAATATAAATAAATATAAATTTCATTATTACATTTTAAAAATATTTCGGTCAATTGACTGGTGAATCTACGTATCATCGAACACTCAATATATTTTAATCCCAAAAATTTGACATCTTTTTTCACTTTCAAATGTACCAATGCAGCAATTGACAACATTTTCAAACAGAAAACAGAAAATGAAATAATTTGTGCATTGTTGGCAGAAGTGCTGAAGTAAATATCATAGAGATTTGCTAGCGCCACGTTATCCTCTCCTAATTCCTAGGTGTCTTTTTGCTTGTTATTGTAAATGGGGGATTTAATCATGTATTTCCAATTTCAAACTTCCAAACTTTCCTTGTTGCTGCTAAAAATATTATTTTCCGTACATCAATGCCTATTATTGTTCTCATTATTTGTTATCGAAGTTGGGGTCATTAATTCGGACTTGTTTCGCTGCAGCTTGTCTGCATATCTACGATATAAAAAGTTTTTTTGGAAATAGTCTATAACTCAGATTGGAATTAAAAAAATAATTTTTGATAGTAGGTATCATAATAATTTAATCGCTTGCTGTCTACCCGTTAAAAAATAAATCAAATGCTTGATCCCTATTTTCACAACGTTGTTTTTTTGTTAATATCTATGAAATTTCCTAGCATTTAATAAACGTTGATATAATTTTTTGCTCTTTCTTTAAATCGCAAAATCCGTCCACAGGCAGAGCTAACATATGTGTTTAATTTTGCATGTGCACACTTTATAATGTCATGACCAACTTACGGTTAGTTAACATCAGAAGTGTATAGTGGGAAGCATCATTTTAAGGAGAGAAAGACAATGTTTTTTTTTTTTTGTAACCGGGCTGTCTAAAAAATTTGGTGACTATATCAATAATTTTTCAGTAAAAATATTTATCGATAGCCGTTCTTACCTTTTTCGTATCTTACAGGGTGCTTGAAGTATGATACCATCCCGAAGAGCGAAAAATGTCTAATTCACCCTGAAACTCGGGAACAGAATAAGGTGCTGTTTCTGTTTGTTGGAAATAGTATCTTCGAAATTGCCGAATACGAATATGTTTTTTTGTAGTAGTGTTTTATGAAGCAATAAGCCTATTATTATTTTTAACAGAGTACATTTTTGTTAAGAAATGTGTGATTTCCTGCTGATTCGATTGAAGAAGCAGTCAATAATTTTTTAAAAGAATAACGTTGTTACCCAAACAGTAAAATGGATTAGAGCAATTGATAAATGAAATTCAAGTTGAAAGACAAAAGCAGGCGGACGTATAGTCATCGAAGGTTATCTTAAATATAAGACGAAGATCATGGTCCCTCCTTCAGACCAACAATGCCAGCAACTTAAGAGCGTCACATAAATTTTTACAATTGCAGTCGCCATCGGCATAATTTTACTTCATATTATCGAGAAATTTTCTCTGGAAGCTGCTAATTCGTTTAATCGGGATAACAAATTTTAAGGTAGTATCAGCCGTAAATTAAAGCGGGTTCACACGAAGGGGAATGGGAAAAAAAGAAATTGGATGTCATAAAAATGAAAATTAGATTAGATTCAAAGACTTTGACGGTTAAAAAATGGAATTTTGCATTTTATAAAGGTTTCAGCGTTGGGATTTAAATCGTTGGAAACTTCATAACCCATGAAGTCGAGAAAAAAATTTACCAAAGTATTTTTGAAATACATTTTAATTTGTTGTAGGTTTACTTCTAATTGTTCGCAAACGCAATAGCAGGAATCGAACACGAGAAATTATTACAACTCCTACAGACACTCACGAGCAATATAACTCAAATTGGATTTTATTGTTGCTCTTAATTGTTAAATTATTTACTTAATTACCTCATAAACTTCGACTAATTTATAGATACCTATTATAAATTTAAACTGTACCAACTGATCATGAAAGTTGTGGGTATTTTTAGCAAAAAATACCACGCAAAGAATGTCTTTAATGTTCGGGAAGTTGCTTTGTGGGCAATTCAAGGCTTTACCGACGTTTTTACAAAACAACGTGTGCAAAAATGGTCGGTGTTAAGTTCCAATTGTTTTTTAATCTTCAAATAAGCAATAAAAATAAGTTCCAAAAAAATGCTCAATGTAGCATACATTTCAAATTATTTAAGAAAATTTGTTTAGTTAGAACAGACCGTTTACACCAGATTGCGACAATAAAACCTCGACGGAACTATGCGCTTACAAGTACGTACACCATAGTACATAAGAGGTGTGTTCAAAAAGAAAGGCGATTTTTAAGTTTTATTAAAAAGTATTTATTTTTTATTTATTATAGTAATCCCCCCACATATAATACACTTGTGTTTTTTCCAATCCTCGAAGCACTTCTGGTAATCACTTTCTGATATAGCCTTCAGGTATTCCAGCGATTTTTTCTTTATCTCCTCAATCGTTCCAAATCCATATCCGGTGAAGATGGTGGCTGAAGCATAATTGTGGTTTTGTTTTTGGCCAAAAAGACACAAGCAACGATGAGTGAGCAGGTGCATTATCACGATGCAAAATCCATGAATTTTGGTATTGCTTCTCGCAAAGGGCGCATAACTTCAAGTTAATAATCTTTATTGACTGTGCGACTTTGTGGTAAAAATTCTTGATGTACTACGCCATTATAATCAAAGAAAACACTAAGCAAAACGTTGACATTTGATTGAACTTGGCGTGCGTTTTTCGGTCTTAGCGAACCTGGAATCTTCCTTCGGGGCGACTGTGATTTGGTTTCGACGTCATAACCATATACCCATGATTCGTCACCAGTTACCTTTTTGAGAATATCAGGATCATCATTGACGTCGTTTAATAGCTCTTTCGCGCCTTCGACGGTCCTTTTGTTTAAAATTAAGCACTTTCTGAACGAATTTTGCTGCTACACGATTCATGCCCAAAACTTCGAAAAAAAATGCATGGCAACAGCGAATAGAGATGCCGACGTGGTCTCTAATAGCGACTTGACGATTTTTTAACACCAGTTATTTAATTTTTTCAACGCTTTCATCAGTTATTGACGTGCTGGGACGTCCGGACGTCCAAAGCGAGGTTCATCATCGGCGTCTTCTCGACCATCTTGCAGCAGCTTGTACCACTTATAAACACTTTTTTTGCTCAAAGTAGGGTCACCATATACCTTTGTCAACTTTTCAAGTGTTTGGCAGCACTGTATTCCATTTTTTACTCAAAATTTGATGCAAATTCTTTGTTCCATTATTTTTTGATAGCAGAAAATCGCAAAGTACATAAAACATGTCTAACGCTTGTCTCCCACGAAAAAAGAAGTAAATGTGCAAACTGTGAACATATTTTAGGGACATGTGTACCAACATAAAAAAATATCGAGAATCCAATGTATGTAGCCTGCCACATTACAAAAGTCACCTTACTTTTTGAACATTCCTCGTAGACTTAAAAAGTGTTTTAATTAGTTTTGATATATTAAGTTTTGGTCACAGTAGGTTCATTTTAGAGAGATTCATAAACTATGAAATAATCAAAAAAATGTTGTTGACGTGGCAAATAGAAGAAAATGAAACCCTAGCATATTTATATTTTATATTTATATATATTAATATTTCCGATGTTTTGAACTGCAACTAAAACTTCTACTATTAAATTAATTTAATAAAATTAAAAAGGTGTTAGAAGAAGCTATCCTATCCACAACTTGAATATCCATTATAATTAAAAGTCAGGTTCACGATTTAAGGAAAACGAAATGCTGTTGACAAAAGTTAGAAAGTTCAAACCGCAAAAATCAAAATTTATTTAAATATTTTTTTCGAAATTTTAAAATAAACATAGGTGAAGCAACACTTCGGAAAACAGAAATTTTTCATCTTTTTAATGGATTATTATCGAACTGATCGATAAACAACTTTGCCCCAATTTGGACTTTGAACTGCTATAGAGTAGTGGATTCCAATTTTACAAATAATTTATATTCTAGATACTTTAAAAACAATCAACATATATTTTTTTGTAAGATGGGAATTTACTTCATTTATTAGTTAATCGACTCTTGACCGAAAAATCTTATGTATTATATTCAGTTTTCATCAAAGTACAAATTTGGGTCAGACCAGGACGGCATGCGGCATGTTATAAACTGTAGGCGACGGGAAAAAAATAACAGGTAGGATTCAATATTAATACTGAGTCATTCCCACAAGGTGAGGCGCAGACCAAATTTGGTACGTCCCATGGTCGATAGGTATCGAAATTTGTTCCAATCAAAAGTACCACATGCTAATAATTTCACTATCTAGGTCGTGGAATATCTGCGGAGCAAATAATCTAGAGTGCTTTTTAGTTAGTTCAAATCGAAATAGCATTTATTTACAAAAATTAACAATAAATTTAATAGCAATTGGGAAAAAGAGACAGTTCTTGATACAAGGGAAGTCAAAAATATTTTTTTCCTAATTGGTTCAGACGAAATTATTAAGAAATTTCTTACTCTAAAAAGGCGAATGCGCCAGGTCATTAACCAATTTGACATTGAAAATAGATAAGCTTAATTTTATTTTTTATTTTATTCACAGGTGAATCACGACTGTTGGAACTACAACCCTGTTTCCTATGTGCAAACTAAAAAGGGAAAAGCTTTATTTTTATATAGTGACATCTATGAGCTGCTAGCCGAAGCTTTAATTCCGCGCCAAATTTTCCAACAAGCACGTAGATGCTTATTGTTTCTTATCAATTATAAATTTGAAATTAATAGCATATAACTTTTTTATTGATGTTTTGTTTATTGTATCCTATTCGATATACCCACTTATATAAGGAGCCGTTTATAGGATTTGGTCAGCTTTAATATTTGTTTGTTTCATAAAATTGTTTAATTCATGTATTCTATCAAAAAATCTGCGACATCGATATAACTATAAATTTTGATAATGATAGGCAGCAGCAGAAATTTGTTATCCAGCGAATGAGTACTAATTAATTCAACCAGGTGAGGTATTGGATGGGCCGCACTTTGTAGATTGACTAATGGCGATTAGAATGCTAATGGCCTTCCGCACCTTATTGTTTGATAACGGAAGTTAATATAAAGTAGCCGCGTCTGTTTACATCACTGATTGATTTTCCATATCGTTTTCGCCAATAGCCCGCCGTTGATATTGCTAACGAAATAAAACTTCAAAGGAGAAATTAGAGTTAAGATTTTTTTCATTCTTTCGATCTGCGATTGTATAAATATGACCTTAATTTAACAAACAACACCGCCCACTTTGTATGGACATAAATGGCCTGTTCGCGACTTACAAAAAAGGAAGTTTCCGGTGTCACTCGGTGTTGAATTAAAAGCTATATTGTTACGACTTATTTGCGCAGTTTTTAAGAAATTGATGAATTTTAGGAAACTTTTTGATTGAAATGGAATAGCAAGAAAATAACTAAAAAAAAAAGGAAAAAATCTTTCCTTATATCTATAAAATTAGAGTTTCGCTTTTATTTATAAGATTTCTGTTTGAGAGAAGTATTGGTAAATATTATTTTTTAACTTCTTAACAGGATTTAAGAAAACGGTTTTTTGTAAAAAGGTTTTTCATTTATTTTCAAGATAAATAGCAAAATGAAGCTTTTAAGGCTGTATAAGAAATTCTGCAATTTCAAATAAGAGGATATTGTATATTGTCCTCTATCAATTTGGTTAAACAGCATTGTAATCTTTTTTTAGTTATATTAACTACATAAATTAGTTCACATTTTATTAAAAGAATTTATACCAAGAAAAGAATGAAATCAAATTGATAAAAATAATAACTAAAACTGAAAGTTACAAAATCCTCTGCCATGACTATTTTTAATTTAATTTTTAAGAAATAGATCAATTTTAGGAAACTTTTTTGAATGAAACAGAACAGCCAAAAAATAACTTCTAAAAAAAGAGAAAAGAGGGAAAAAATATTGCTTTATATTAATAAAATTAGAGTTTAGCTTTTATTTACAATATTTTTGTTAGAGAGAAGTTTATTGGTAAATATTATTTTTTATCCTCTTTGTAAACAAGATTTAAGAAAATGGTTTCTTTTATAAAAGTTTTTCATGTACTTTCGAGATAAATAGCAAAATTAAGCTTTTAAGGTTTTATAAGAAATTTGCAATTTGAAATAAGAGGATATTGTCCTCTATCAATTTGGTAAAACTGCATTGCAATCTTTTATTTTAGTTATATTAACTACATAAATTAGTTCATGTTTTAATAAAATAATTTATACCAAGAAAAAAGTTAAATTGATAAAAATAATAACTAAAAATTGAAAGTTAGAAATTCTGTTGCCATGCCAAATAAGTTCTAAAAAAAGAAAAAAGTGGGAACCAATTTTTGGCTTATATCTATAAAATTAGAATTTCGCTGTTATTTACAAAATTTTTGTTTTAGAAAAGTATATTTCTAAATATTATTTTTTGCATTCTTTGTATAAAGGATTTAAGAAAACGGTTTTTTGTAAAAAGGTATTTCATTTATTTTCAAGATAAATAGCAAAATGAAGCTTTTAAGGCTGTATAAGAAATTTTTCAATTTCAAATAAGAGGATATTGTATATTTTCCTCTATCAATTTGGTTAAACTGCGTAATAATCTTTTTTTTGTTAGTTGTACTAACTACATAAATTAGGTCATATTTTAATAAAAGAATTTATACAAAGAAAAGAATTAAATCAAATTGATAAAAATAATAACTACAACTTGAAATTTACAAAATACTAAAATCTTTTACCATGATTACTTAATAAAAATTGTATTTGCGCAGTTTTTAAGAAAGAGGTTAATTTTAGAAAACTTTTTGATTGAAATGGAACCGCAACAAAATAGCTCCTAAAAAAAAAAGGGAAAAAATCTTGCCTTATATCGATAAAATTATAGTTTCGCTTTTATTTACAAGGTTTTTTTTTGGTAAATATGATTTTTATCCTCTTTGTGAACAGCATTTAAGAAAGTGGTATTTTGTGTAAAGGTTTTTCATTTATTTTCGAGATAAAATTAAGCTTTAAGGTTAGCATAAGAAATTTTACAATTTCAAATAAAAGGATATTGTATATTGTACTCTATCAATTTGGTTAAACTGCATTGCATTTATTTTTTTTGTAGTTATGTTAACTACATAAATTATTTCATGTTTTAAGAAAAGAATTAATACGAATAAAATAATTAAATCAAATTAATAAAAATAATAACTAAAAATTGAAAATTAATTGAAATAATAAAAAGAAATTTATTTCTTCTACAAGTTGTTTATTACGAAATTCTACTGAAAGTATTAGCCTTTGGAAAAACTGCAAAAAAGAACAATTCAATAAAATTTAAATCTCGATCTCTTTTCTCAAAAAGTAAGTGAAAATTTAAGTTTCTTTTTTGAGTATGTCTAGTTATATTTTCACACTTTTTTCTCACGCCAGGTGTTAGTTGCTACGTAAATTTTTCCTTTTCTTTTTGCCTTTGCCTTCTTAATGGAATAAAACCAGAAGTAAATAGTTAATGAAAATTACATCAAAGTAAAAATATTACTTCGATTTAATAATTCTCGTAAAATTATTATTATTAACGAAAAATTATCCCGGTATTGTACGCTGTGTGCCCCCTCTTTTCCCCGAAACCCGACAGGTTCGAAGCCTGGCTTCTGCAATCGCGCGCACCAGTGACGGACACTGTTGTGGCTGTTGAATTTCCTGCTGATTTCATATTATACAAAGTGTTTTCGCGGCACTTGTCACGGCATACATCACTGAACAAAATTATGCGTTTAATATAATGCATAAACGGCTCCAATTGGGCGAAAAATTGTGATTATTATCTGGTTTTGTGGTTAATGGAGTGTCGCTTTGGGATAATTCCAGTGTAACATGGACCACTTTCTTTAGTGCATTTGTTTTGTGTGGAATAAATACAACTAAGTAAGTATTTCTTTGTGAAAAATGGAAACCATCTAGGTAATATATTGCCCCGGGGGCATAGGCTCTGCGCAGTTACGATCATTAGTCGTGCTAAGAGATATTTTTTGAAAAGTGGTAGTAGGATGATGTCATGGTTGGTGGAAGTGGAGGTGGAAAATTTTGGATGGGCTGGCATGAATATTTAACAATGATTTACGTCCCAGTACCAGCACACAACGGCAAAGTAACCAAAAAGTACAAATAGTGTAGTGTAATAAAAGGCAACTACAAGTTTTGCGTAATAATACAATTTAACGATTTTCATTACATTGTTCACCTATATACAAAGATTGGAGATATCTAAGCGCCTTGTGTACCCAAACTGTATTGGTATCAAAGTTTACTCTTACAAGTACGAAACGCTATTCAAACGGAGGAAATTAGTATAAGTAGGAAAACCGGATTAGAACGTGACGGCCCAAAAGCAATTGTAGTTTAAAATCACGCCGGCTGCTCCATTTATATGAAATAAATAACAATTTTCTGTTTCAAATATAAATTAGTTGGCTTTTTCGCTAAATTAAAAAAAAAAAGGAGATTAGGCAAATCTTCCATTTTTCGAGTTCATTAAGTTTCTAAATGCAATCTCACGAACCATCAGGTCATTTTGAATTTCATGTTTTATTAGTTACATTTATGGCGGTGCGCTTAATTGTACTTCTCTAGGTCGGTTGGTGGTAAGGTGTAGAGAAGTTTCAATAATAATTTCGAATTTGGATTACTAGAAAATATATTATAATATGGCATTTCTGGTCGGGCCAATAGGTACAATACTTTCCAAATGGGTTATTTCATTTTTGATAATCTCATACGAGGAGTTTTGCACCAGGTAGTTCTGCCACTGTTGTGGAAGTAGAAGCATAGAAGCATCCCTCCCATTTACAAAATAAATAAATATAATAAAATGAGCTCCATATCCATCCACTCTAATAAATTTAAGTTCTATTCGAGGTTCTAATGTATTTTTAAGGTAGAATATATTTACTAGCAAAAATTATTGAGAAGTAGGATATTACTGCTAAAAAATTTCAGGACACTATAAGTAGTGCTTCAAACATAGAATATATAAACTATATAAAGCATATAAACCGTAGCCACTTGTTTATATTTATCAATAAGAAACGGAAACCTGCAGACTGTGTTCCCAATTTGGATCGGATGACGTAACGCCATTTGTCACCGTTTAGAGCAACAATTTCCAGTCTTCAATTTAAAAAGGCCTGTGTTAGTTTTCGCCACAGTAACCTAAACTGCAGCGTTACTCAAAGGTCAGCGCACGTTATTATATTCATTCCCGTGCGTACATATCTTGAATTCCGTTTTTGGGACAGTTTAATAATTATTTCCGGCATTGGTATACAGAGTGGTTGATGGTCGATGGAAGGTCAGCAACTTGTACGGAAAAAGGAAAAAATATTTTTGTTGAATTAGGTGATTTTCAAAAAAAAAGTCTTTTTCGATTTCATCAACCACATATTATATACATGTTAAGCACAAGGTCTTTTTTTTGTTTTTTACTTACACTTATAAGATTTATAATAAAACATAATAGGAATTAGGACATGACAGTTGCGCAATTGTAATTTACTAGTATTCTCTCAAAAACTTTCCCAACGGTGTGGGTGGCTGAAATTTTGGAGTCATCTCTCTTTCTCATTCTGAAATGTGCATACTTCAATGGTGAAAATAGTTTTAACATTTACATCTTCTAACACATGTTGGCAGTGACTTTTATTTTATTTTTAAGTGAGTAAACTCTACCTACCACCTTGCTTTGGAAATATTTTTCTGGCTTTACAAACATTAAAATCACACACCCGTAGTATCTAAACGAAATAAATAAAATATCCTATTATGACATTTACTAATGAAATATTGACGTGAAATATCCAATAACTTTTCCCGATATAATGAATTTTATTAGGTCAGAAACGAGACTCATGTGATTCATCTATAAATTTTTATTGCCAATAACGCAGCTAATTAATTAGGTTTTTGGGAACTATAGTAATATGAAAAAATTACAAGAGACAAAAGTTTCTAAATAATTGAGAAAATAAAAACATGTTTTATATCATTGCATAAGTTTTTCCTTAAATTTGATTAAGAAAAATGATAGGAATAGTCTAATTCAATTCCCTCCACTTTATAAAATAAAAAAATACGCAGAGTTAGGTGGAACAGTGAGGCTTCTTTTAAATCTGGCTGATTTTGAAATTTCAATCAAAATTATTTTTTAATGGAACGCCTTATACATTCTTCGAGAAATTTATTTGCCGTATATCAAGTTGTTTGGATGCATATTTTCATGACGAAACCAATGTCAAATGCAATATAATTTAAAATCTAAAAAAATTAAAATATTTAGTATATAAAAAAAGATGTAGTGGGCTTTGTCACCCCTTGAGGCTTTTCTTGTTGTTTTATTTGACATTGCTTATTTACACACATTGTGAATTTAATGAACAATTTATTATCTAATCATTTAATTGTCCAATAAAATTAGTTTTAATTCAATAATGCTGAATTATTTTACTACGGAGATTGCATATACGCATTTTATTTTATTTATTATTATATTGTTTAAATTTATTCATAGGTTACGCTTGAATAGATCATTTATTATTATTATCATTATTAATTGTTTAGAAGATAATTGAAAATGTTGTTTCAAAATTCAACTGTTTGACAGCATCCAACTAAATTATTATTAATTATTATTTCTGCAAATTGCAAGAAATTTCGCCGATAAAAAAAAGAAATATATATATATATATATATATATATATATATATATATATATATATATATATATATATATATATATATATATATATATATATATATATTACTAAACGTAACCTAATTAATTAGCTGCGTTATTGGCAATAAAAATTTATAGATGATTCAGATGAGTCTCGTTTCTGACCTAATAAAATTCATTATATCGGGAAAAGTTATTGGATATTTCACGTCAATATTTCATTAGTAATAGGATATTTTATTTATTTCGTTTAGATACTACGGGTGTGTGATTTTAATGTTTGTAAAGCCAGAAAAATATTTCCAAAGCAAGGTGGTGGTAGAGTTTACTCACTTAAAAATAAAATGAAAGTCATTGCCAACATGTGTTAGAAGATGTAAATGTTAAAACTATTTTCACCATTGAAGTATGCATATATATATATATATATATATATATATATATATATATATATATATATATATACACAAAACGGTAGTCGTGACCGGCTAGTTGAACAACAAATTTTAGTTAATTGGGGTATCGGTCCTGATGAGGGCTCAAATAAAAGGCTTTTGTGCTACACCAAGCTTTCGAAAATGTTTATTTTCTTCTTCAGGGGCTACAATATGAAAGCGTCTCTTAGTTATTTAATACTAAAGTCTTATAGTTAAAGTACTTACTGCTACAGTGCCATTATAGGCCAACACCAAACTCATCCGGATAACAGAAAGAATCAAATACGACCGTTAATTATTATAACCGAGGGCAGCCATCTAGACGAAATTGTTATTACATTTTATTTAAACGAATTTTACTTCATCCGCAAAACGCAAATGATGGAAAGGTTTTATTAGTATGACCACCGCCAGCCGTCCAGTTTTTTTCCTTTCTTTTTTTTTTCCCCTTTTTGTTACCTCCTTTTTGCTTACAAAGCCCTAATGTATAAAGGCTTGGGACTATTTTTCTAAATTATAATTACATTGTGACGACACTATTATCAGCAAACGCAATTCGATTGACGGTTGGTTGTAAAGTTAAGACATTAGAGTAGATCACACTGAGGCCATCAACGTCAGATCTTTTATTGACCGATTTCGGTTCCAAGAAAATCTCCACCATTTCCAAAGTTGCTCTTTTGTTGTAGTTGCTTTCTTTATGGAGAATTTTTGTTTCAACAAAGTTAACATCGTGATCCATTTGGTTAGAGTGTGTTGCTAATGAACAGGTGTTCTTATTGAGTCTGCAATCACTCTTGTGTGACGTAATTCTATCTTTAAGTACTCGCGATGTCTGTCCTATGTATACCTGATCACACTGATTACAGGGGATGCTATAAATTACTTCTGAATTCTTTTGTACCTCATCCTTATCTTTTAGTTTGCTAAAGACACTCCCCAATGTTTTTGTTTGTTTATATGCTATCTTAATATTTGTTTGTGCTCTCAGAATTTTTGTGAGTGTGGTCGTTAATTCTTTAATGTATGGCAATGAAAAATAAAAACATCTCTGATCGTCCATTCCTGGGCTATCTGAGTGGACGACCGTGTTCCGCGGGTTTGGAGCTCTTAGTGGGGTCGTGCTATATAACAATTTTTTAGTTAACCTACTTGGGTATGAGTTGTTAATCAGCATGTCGTAAAGCTTATTAAGATTTTTTTGTCTTAGTGATGGGTGAGAAATCCTCTCGATTCGTGTCTTTAATGCTATGACCAAATTTATTTTTGTTTTCGTTGTATGGTAAGAGTGGAAATTCATATATCTCCCCGAACTGGTCGGTTTTATGTACCAATCTAATATAATTTTGTTATCGTTGTTCCGGATCACTTTAGTGTCCAGAAATGGTACGCTTTTATCAATTTCCTCCTCTACTGTAAATTGTATGTGTGCATCATAGCTGTTAAACACTGTGAGCGTTTCCCTCACGCAACTTTCAGGTATGGAAGTAATTATATCATCCACATATTTTTTCAGAAATGGTAACTGAAACGACAGCTTATCTACGCACACCTCAAGTAGGTCATCCATAACGTATTGAGCTAATATTGGAGAAATGATGGCACCCATCGGTGTACCTAATTTTTGTTTGTAAAATTCATTGTTAAATCTAAAATACGTTGTATCAAAGACAAACTGAAGTATCTTCAGGAAACTAATTTGTGACAAATCAGTGTGGTTTCTAATTCTGTTCCAATGTTTTTTTATACTTTTTTCTACC